TGTATGGCCTTCTAGATAAACCAAGTTTCATAATTCGTACCTATGGATAATTTTGTACTGATAGGCAGCGATGCCTTTGGCATTACCTGAATGATTTTAGTAATGGTTTTTAATATAAAATATCAGGAGCAAGAGTGCTTACCAATTAAGCTATTTTTCATATACCGTTGTATACGCCCAGATTTGACCTCTTTTATGGCGGGCAGGATCATGAAAATTCACGTCAAAACTAAGCTTTTTCTTTAATTTATCATAATCAGTTTAATTACTAGTATTTGTCACATTACCATAATAATAGTCTTACCTGTATATTGGTCTTTGTCTATTACATCAAGACAAGCATTTTTCACATCTTTCATTATTAATTTAATTACTAATTGACCAGCATTCTTCCATTCCCTACATCGTTTGTTCGTTTTCACGCGCGACTGCTTACTCCTATTTCTACTCGCAGACATCTATCGAATCCCGTTTGTCACGTTAAAAATCCCGAAGCCAAAGCAGTGCATATTGGTGATTCAGACCCCCATTGGGATTCCGGCACAACCAAGCCCTCAAGTCCAGCCTGTTCACGTAGGGCTGTCTGCCGGCTAATAAACTGGCCAACCACAACTGTTGCCACTCTTGATTCTCCACTATCTTCTTCTTTCCTTGCCACTAAGTTGGATTGCACTTCAGTCTTGCTCGCCCCGGCTTCGAAGTCTCTCCCTCACCAACATCATCATCATACAAATTCCTGGAATTTTGCGAATCGGACTATGTCACCAAACAGAAAAAGTTGGCCGGACGCAGAAATTGAATTGGAAGGCCACGCAAACTTTGAACGAAAAGATTCTATCTCTACGTCTGAACTGGAGAACAACGAGGGGCACATCCAAATTTCTCCAAATCAGATGAGGGATTCGTATCCAGCCTGCACAGATAAACTTAACCTTGTGACTGGGGGTGCTGGAAGGCCGACAGGCATCACAAAAGTCGAACAGACCGTTTCACTTTTACCGTCCAATCGCTATTGGTCAGATTCTGAAAGACTTTCCTCGGCTATAAGTCATACACTCTTATTAGAAGCAGAAGCCAGGACTTTGCTGAGCTAACATTATATTAGCTTCGCTCTTTCACTCTAAATCTCTTGTGCGCACGCGCAGACTCGAAATTGTGCGAATGAGATGCTTTTTTGAAATCTTATTCTCATCCCTTTCACTAAGAAGTTTATATACCAATATATACATACGCGCATACTCGAAGCCAATGATTGACCTATTCTCAGTTTCCTGACGGGCGGATAAACAAGTTCTTTTGTTCGCGCCAGCTGCCTACTTACCAGCCTCTTACTCGGGAGTCTTTCCTCCAATCCACAACTTTTCTCATTCTCACCTACTCTTTTGCCCCGACCTTTATGCTAGCCTGTTGCCTCACCTTTGTAAGCCTTGGCAGCCCCACTAGCTAATTTACATGTGAATTTGTCTCCTTATCTCTAACAATCACACTCGCTTTCTTGTTCGATTCTTACCTATAAACCGATCGTGCATTTAACCTTCTCATAGCCATCATGCAACTATTTTGCTTGTAACGGAACATAAGCAAATGTCCTCAGGTCCATTTTTCTCCTACTCATCAAGAAAACTCTACTTAACGATGCATGTAGTCAATGTTCCGTTGCTATGCCTTTTATCCTAAGACGACTGTTAATTAATCCAATATTATCTCTTTTTTACTATGTTCAAATAGCTGAATTCTTTCAATATTGTTTTGCAAAATCGAGCCATTTCAAATCAGAGCTTATATCTTATCTTTATCTGAATTGTGCGTCTAAACTTCAGATTTTGATTTATTTTTAATTCTTTTACTCTGAGCCCTTCCGATGTCGGCTGTGGACAGCTTTGACAGGGTTTGCTCTATTCACTTCCTCAACGTTAGTTTTTATTACGACGTTGCTATGTGCATAATTGAATTTTATACCCACACATCCACATAACTAAATAAATAAATAAATATATATATCCTCTTTCTGCGCCATACCCTTTCATTTGAACAGTCGGCCTTTGATTTCTCTTTCAGTGGATTCTCATTCCTATGATATGACTTAGGAAAAGCTCGCTTAAGTTCTCTCCGTCCTTTCATTTGTTTACTTGATATTTTTTATTTTTCTATTTTGACTGATTCGACTGTAATACAACTGACTTTTTGTTATATTATCTTCGAGGCATAACTATACGAGCATAGTTAACTATTTGTGTTTTTTAAACCAAATATACAATGGTTTTGAGAACTGAAAGTTGTTTAAATTTCACTTTATTTGACGGGGTTTGAATGATTTATTAGTTGGGAAATTCGATTTGAAACATAGGAGCAAATTTTTTATTTGAACCTCATCACCTATCGCTAAAGGGTCATAATTGGAACAGTTAGCAGCTATTTTTCAGACTGAAACATCCTCATTTTTGTTTAAATAGTGAAACTGTCCACTTATGCTCCGGAGTTATAAGCATTTCGATTGTTGCTACTAATGAATAGTATGAATAGAAGCTGGGTCTCGAAGGGTCCCTTAGTAGATTGAAACTCATAATCCCCTCATTTCGATTTGGAAGGCAGTTGAAAGGGATTCGTAGATTAGCCTCATCGGACACCGAAAAAGTTTTTCCTTTGACTTTTGACTTGTGCAAAGAAGACCTCGGCCCATCGTCTTGCGAACCCAATAACTCCGTGTTGAGCTTTCGTTCGTCATGTGGTGGACATCATCAGAGCCAGAAAACATTCACGAACAACCACCAAAAATACTAAAGCAAGAAAGATGGCCGGCTGAGATAGTGCCTACTTTTCATACCTCACTGCGATCTTAATGATGTATTCCATGATTTTTCGTATATAAGCAGTTTCGAGACTATCAGTAGATGAGTTCGAATTCCATAGCTAAGCAATTTCTTGTCATGCCGTTTATTTATCAGATCCCGAACCCTCTGTCATTCCGGTCCGTCATGCTCTGGAGTTTTTGAAAATCATCCAAATTGAGAACCCTACCTAGATCCTTCCTTAATCTAGACTTGAGATCTATGAACTTAAATAGCTTACGCCTCTTAATCTCGTAACCTTTCTCTAACGAAAAGATCCGAAATAGCGGAAAATATTGCACGCACAGGGCACGAAATCGACCGAAAGGTTGGCTGCATGTGGTGAAGATACAAGAAAACGCAAGATCCGAAAGGCCATCGAAATACTGACCGAGAAAGAACTAATGAACAGGATACTCGAAGAAGACAGGATTAGCGAAAACTTTGCATATTGCCTAAACAAACTCGGAGAAGACCAGGAAACAATAAGATCAGCAAAAAGAAGACGACTGGATCAAGGTAATATCCTGAATTTTAGGAAAAGGGATCGCAGGGGGATGAGAAAGCAACAATCAGAAGCAAAGAGGAGACGTCTTCAGTGAGCCTAATCAAAACAAACACAAGAGACTAGGACGTAGGAAGCGATGGACATGGTATTACAGATAGAAACAGGAAAGACGCGTTGGAGACTAGAGCTATTTGGCTAACAATAGACGTGTT